AAAATTTTCAATTTTTTNAATACCATTGACTGTCGAAGAGTAGTGTAAAATTTTCAATTTTTTCCTAAGAAATTATAGCCATTCAATTAGTAGAATATCATATTAGCGTTTTGTATTATACACGCGGACATATATTATATTGAAATATTACACTATTAAGTGACCTCGGTATTTCAAGTCGAATTACATTTTTTTATTTTTAATCATATTGGGGATTTTATCTTAATCTTGTGCTGCGTACAATATTTTCAGATATTACGATTATATTATTGGTCATGATTTCACGTAATCCTTTATTTAATCCTATAACATCGATTTAGCAGTTTTAATCGCTATTTAAATGGAATTTAGACCTCCGCGGAAAATATCTATTCATTAGCAAATTATTAATCATAGTAAAAGTGGTGAACCAATGAATTTAGTATTTTTTTTTTCACGTAAAATATTTCAAAACGGTGAAATGTAGTAGGAATTATTTTTTAAGTACGCCGAAGAGTCAACACCGTAAAAAAAATAAAATAAAAGAGAAAGAAAAACGTTAAACCGGAAAACCGTTGTACCGTGTTTCCTCGTTTATCAACATACGACTTATCATTTTATAACACAGTTGAGCGGTATAATATAATACTATACTGTAATGACACTATATGATGTGCCTAACTTGTTATTATTTCCGTGTAATTACGGTTTTACATAAAAATGTCTAAATTATTTTACACCAACGTAAGGGGTCCTGTATATATTTCGAAACAAAAATTCTGAGTGAACATGTAACGACTAATGATAAGTAAACAAATACCATGTCAGGTGGTAGTACATATAAATAAACATGCACATATGTTTTTATTCGTAAACATTCCCTAACAACAGTACTTACAAAGTACGGTATAATTTTCACCGATAGTGTTTAAATTAGTCATTCGTAATTAAGTATAGCCGTCAAATTATATCAATTAAAAATAATTTCTATAAGTTGGAAACAAACTGAATCATTGCGTACAATTTGCTTTTAATCTGTAATTATATACTTTTTTAATTTATATAATGGCCATGTAAATTATTTACTGTGTACGTTGATTTTGGTAAATACGATTAAGCGTATTAGTATTCGTTAACATTCGTATTTTATTTAGGTAATATTTTTAACGAGGAACTGGCATACCCTCTAGGATTTCGTGATTGCAATAATAACATAAATGGTAAAAATGGCGATGTGCCTATTGCCCGAAACCAAATTTTCGTATTAAATTACTCTATTTGGTAGCTAATGACTATCATTTTTCTGGTAGGCTATTTTGTTTATTCTGACAATTTCGCTTAGACTCCTCCGTACAAAAACAAACGAAAACGAATGTGGAAAATATAAAAAATTTGGAAGTTATTGTAGTCTTGTAGAGTATTTATTTTATTACGCGGTGTACATGTAATTCACGTAGATTTTCGCGAGCATCGTGTCCACGGCGCTTACTCTTCGTTAGGCGATACGACTGCAAGACTGCCAAAAATAAATTAATCCGAATTAATGAGACGCTTATATAATCTTTTGTGTTATCCTCGAAAAAATTGTTTAAAAGTTTCCAACGTCAGTCCTCAAAACAATTAACCCGTCAAGGAAAAAGACGCATATCGTTTACCATCGAGTTGTATTTATTCAGTTTTGAAATTCATTATATTTTTCCGATTTAATTTTTTATCAGTCCGTAGTCGATTACTCTGATGCCGCGAGCTAATTAATCGGTCGGCTCTACTTTCGTGTTTTGAATTCATTATTCTATGTAAATTCATGCTGCCGTCACGAACCGGTTCCGGAATGATGGTACATATGATATATACACCTCTTGGGTTCCGGGTGTTTTTCTGAGATTTAAATGCGCAGTACAATATTGGATTCCTCAGAAAAACGGCAAGCGTCGATTGGATTATGCAATGGATGTAGTGGTGTGCTAAAATAATAATTAATTGCTGTGTTGACGACTATCACGTAGCAGAACAACCCGAAAAACGGGTGTGTACGTTTGCGGCAGAATGCTCGTGCGGGTTAAACGAAAGAGGTCATCATTTACATCAACGACCAAGATGACTGTCACAATAATAATAATTTTCATATCGTTGACTCAAATACAACATCTATATTCGAACGTTCCCAATCCAACGCCGCCATGTGTTTTGCGGTGTTTATTAATCGGTCTTGAGTACATTCCGGCTTTATCGCAGAAGAATCTAATATAAGTATAGTGTAATTGCAGTACAGCCCATCATTCATTGTATCCGCTCAACAGTCTGACAATTTGTCCGCAAAACAAGTCCATTGAAAGCAAAATATCATATTTTCGGACGATAATAGTAAATACTTACGGTGTTGACCTGGAACAGCATCCGACCAATGGTGTTTCTCTTCCTTTGCTGCGATGACCCACTTGGTCACACGGTTGCTAGTAGTATACGTGCTATCACCCGGAGGAAGGCGCCCATTCTCTTTGGCTCTCACACAATTTCTCATTAGCTGACGTACCTAACCCCGAGCGACTCGATTTATTATATTGTGTTTTATATTTTAGTTCATTTCAGCTCTCATTATTCATTGTTGTTGACGCCGCCGTCGTCGTCGTCGTTGTTATTATTATTATTATCGACGTGCATCTCTATTGGACGGCAACCACGTCAACATCACACAACATTATCTCGTGACGCAATAATACTCTAATACAAACGCGTTTATAGATTTCATTTGACTCTGTTTACCAGTGCCACTGTGATAACGTCCGTCACGAATTTTAATCGCTGAGCTTTTTGATTACTTCTGGAATTTTTTAAAAAAAGAGTAGTGGTGTGTTTTGTGTACTGCGTTACATAACACCTACGTGACGGCCAGGGACTCGAGACCACGCAAGACATTCCGATGCGTTATTGTAGTATCTATACACTGTTGGAAATCATCCAAACTGTCAGACCATATTCAGTGTCCGGCCCGGAACTAATTGAGCCGCGGAGACAGCGGCTAACGTTCTAAAGTGCCGTAATTACACATTGTCTCTAACGGTTCATACGTACAATCTTCGGGAGCGGACGGTCTTTTCTTAACCTCTCATTTTTAACATCTGAACCTACTCTGTAATGGTTGAATTTTTATACGTCGAAAACTCAGTTTTCCTTGAGCGACTTCGGCACTACCGAACTCACAGTTACTTTCACATCGCATTCCGATTGATTTTCGCACGGCTATGAATACATGTGCACGGGCATTGTGTACGAGCCTATTGAGAAATGCAGCACCGCGAGAATATGTACATCGTAAATGTGGTGTTGACCAGAATAATTTTTGATTTCGTTTGTAAACCACTTTTTTTTATCGTGCCGTGTTTTTTGAAATTCCTATAGCTGTTTTTTTCTTGTTTAAACGATTAAAAGGTTTCCGAGCCGCTAAAATTCCGTCTTCTAATTTATGCGTATTATTAATGTATTATTTATTTATGTTGACGGTTAATAACTGGACATCGCGCTTGACGTTTCGTGGAATTTCATGTAACTAAAACTTATTCGTCTACTAGGGTTGCATGACGACGACAATAAGCTTAAAGCGACAAAGTGTTTTTTGAGGAGTGGCGTAATATATTTTTATGATTTTATAACCCGCGTGCTGCGGCGTATATATGAAGATGGAACGTTTTACACTAACGGTTAAAGTAGTTCTATGTTGTTGTTTGGTCTTTGAGAATAACATGTTATAATGTTCTAACCAAAGGTTATAACTGTTCTTTATTTACTTATGACGATTTAACATTGCGATTAAAAAAAAAAAAAGTGTTTTTTAATCGTAGAGGTGTAAAGTAACACAAAATATATACACCCATTTATTTGAGGGCACAAGCGCGGGCGGGTCGTTTTTATTGTGAATTATAATCATATGATGACGGTTTATAATAATACCCGCACGATTGAACTGTACTTTTGTTATTATTATCATCGTGAGCTATGTACTCGACTCTAGTTGTGAATTTCCTAGGCCAAATCCTTGAAACTAGCCGACCGTTTTCTGTGAAATCGTTGCATTGTCCGCATCGTTAATATTTAGTCATGTTATAATAAAAATTGAAGTATATATCAATAAAGCAATATGGGTTTAGTTGTAACGAACTGCCACGGTGTAACCTTAGCTGAAGCAAATATAATGGTATTAAAATCGTGATACTTAGAAGTCACGTTGGAATTCGGCTAAAGTCTTCGTCCACGTAGGAGTATTCGGAGTCAATGGATTTGGCCTAAGACTGGGCCTTTCACGATAATTATAGAATATTTCGTGCTTTCATTGCTCTGAAATGTATAATATATGTGTTATTATTACACGTAGATACTGAAAAATATTTGACCGTTGATGATATTTTCTGGTTCGGTTCAGTAGGAGGATCGCGGCTGTTATTGTCTAGGTTATAATTAGAAAGGTTAGGTGCGATATCGCCAATATCATATTGCGAATAATGATTCATGTAATTACCATACGGAGTTAAAAATGTATCAGCCACGCCTGAACAGGGCAGGTGACAGAAACGGCGCTATACTGAAAAAAATCGTATTAAAACAATTTTTTTCTATTCTTATAGGGTCTTTTACACGAATTGCTAACACAGGGAAGCGCGTGATTTGCGTACAGTATTCTCAAATGTACGGGGCGTTAATCTAAAACTAACACAAAGTAGCGCGCACCGAGTATAAGACAATAATAATATTGTGTTGCCAAATCAAACGCGCTTTGTGAATACTATGCACTGTTCATTATATCCGCGATTCGTGATACGAATAATTTTGATGAACGCCACAATATTGTGAACTTGTAAAATAAAAATATCATTAGCAAAAACAATAAAAAATCAAATAAACTATTCAATAATAATAATATGTAAAGGTTCCTTACTTTTTTTTTTTTGAAAAGTCTCGAATTCATTTCAAAATTGATTACAAAGTATCAGTCATTATTAACGTATTTTTTTTTTATGGTGTTACAGGTGAAACTTGTGTAGAAAAACCTTTATGTAGTCTGTGGAAAAATTATACGTGTAATCAGAAACCGGATGTGCACATGAAGTTGACCATTACACAGTCAGGTCTAAAAGCGTTCACTAAGGAACATGGTTTGACTGAATATTGGAGTCATCGTATCACATATTGTCTGGCATCACCACAATTTCCGCGAATATTCTGTTGGGTATACCGACACGAAGGTCGCAAACTCAAACAAGAACTTAGGTGCCATGCTGTAGTGTGTTCAAAAGAATCTGTAGCTAAACAGATAGCCAGCCAGTTGCAGAGCAGATTAGCGCAAGCGTTGAACGAGTTCAAAAGAGACAAGATCAGTCGACAAAATGCCCGTCTGTCTTTGGCTAATAGTGTGTATGAGAATCCATCATTACCACGGCGTAAAATATTGTTATCGACGGGATCACACAACTACAGGCCTCCTTTAGAACGGTCCAAGTCAGCTCCTAGATTGATGGCAATTGAAGAAAGTCTTGAAGAGGACGAAGAATCTGCAGACATGCCATTCAGAAGATGTCGAGCAGAAAATCGTTTGCGGACCGGTACCCTCAGGAATCGGTTGGGTGGTTTACATGGCCTTAAAGAGTCAGCTATGACGGATATCGAAAGTAGACTCGCTGTCACCCAATTGGTCGAAGAAGATCCAATTGATGAGAAAACCACTGTGGCTCCCGAGCCGTTACCTGTACCCACCGCAATTAATGACTGTTGCGAACCCGAGTTACCTCTATACAGAGACATTGTGAGTAACCCGGAAAACTTGTTGGTTTGTAGCAACTTACCTAAGTATAACGAGGTGATAGTTGACTGTCCGCAAGGTCCAGATGACATGTGCTATAAGTACAACAGTTTGGTTCGGGATAGAAAGAAACTATTTGAAGGTATTAGTGGTGGTCAGTATGATGTGCGATCCAAGCGGCATAGTGCAGATTCTGAAACGCTCAGATTGTACCACAACTTGGTTAAGAACAGAAAAATGATGTTCGAAGGTTGCCAAGACTATTGTGACGAGGAGGAAGAAGAAGAGGACTGTTGTGGAGAGGATAAAGACTGTGGGTATCCAGACGATGAGTCTACACCCAGCTTGCAGAGCATATCTAGTGGCGGATCAGACGTGTCTAGCATAAAGAAAAGAACGGTAGACTTGGATTCGTTATCCGAAGAAGATAGCGATGAAAGTGGGTACGTGGAAGCTCCGCCATCTTGCTCGAGTCATGAGGATAAACAAAAAGATGGGTCCCATAAACGTATAGTCACTAATCGAACCCTTACCACTAGAAAGACACATTGTATTAGCTTATAATATCGTCAATAAAACCATATTCACGGATCTATTTCAAATATATCTACGCCACCGATACTATTATAATTATAAACACTAAATCATTATTGTACCATATCTCTTCGACAACATCACAGTGTTAGTTGGTTGTATTGATCGACGAATGTGGATGCAGAAAACGGCAGAAGAAAAGCAAAATTATTATTTTGAACTCTTGCTCTTCTAAATATCAACTCTAAATATGTTCAATGTGAACATCACTTAACAACCGAACAAATTAGATTTTTGTTTAAAATAGTAACTACTATTTAAATCAAATTCACAAATTCATCAGTTTTTTTACTGAGTACATATTGTATATTTTAACTTCTCAACCATTATTTTTATATTTTACTAATTAGTATGTTTTTATGGCTTACTGTCAACTTTTTATCGCAAAAGTAATTATTATATGCATACAAACTATTATTCTTGTTATATGTACAATGTACATATTAAATATGTGTAAATAACATTTATCGACCTAGTCAAGCAATTGTATTATTAGAGATTAGTATTATATAATATCTAATATTATAGTAAATCAAACATTAGGATCACTTAATAGATTTAGAACCAACTTTGGCCTATTCATTGCAATTAGATGGTTTGTGTTAAATAATATTAATGATTTTTTCAATTTCTAATAATAATATTATTAACAAATTTTGACAATTTCTCCATTTAACTCGACTGGGTAACTAATATTATAAAAATAGGTGCTAGCTAATTTTAATAGATAATTCACAGAATATTATTTTTATGTATAAATGTATGCTGTTTACAAAAATTAAATTAAAACAAAACGCAATATAATTGTATTTTGTACATGTTACTCTTAGTAGTGTTTGTGGGAAAAGTTTGAACTCATTTTTTGTGTGCGTCTTATGTACACAGTAAAATATGTTAACATCTCAGGCGTTTGAAAATTAGTCTAACGTTCCTATGAATTCTATCTGAAAATTAAAAATAATAATAAAAATGGGTTTCTAATTAAACATTACCTTAAAAATACTATGTCAATGGCCTATAATAAATATTTTGTTATTATAATAATATAACTTTACGTGTATTGCACATCGTGTTTGGATTGTAAAAAAAAGTTATTTATTATTTAACAATAGGACTTCCTTGTTGCGTTTTTAGTGTTATCGATCCAAAAGAATCAGGAAATTAATTGATAAATAATTTATGTTCTAATGTCGTATGTTATATGTTGTATTAAGTTAAATAAACAAAAAATTGAGAATATATTTACGTGTATTTTTGTTAACTGATGTGTTAGAGACTATGATATTTATGTACCAAATAGACGTTTTATGTTTTTATTACAGTATATTATAATATCTTACATTAAACCTGTGCGTGTTTTATATATTATTGATTTACTTATTATTTTGTATTTTTTTTTTTTTAAAAAAATGAGTAATGTTGTTATTATAAATGAAAAATTATTGTTTTGATTTTTCTTTTGATGTTATCTATCATATTGTTATTGTTATTATATTACGTTGTTGGTATAAAATGATAATCAGACGATAAAATATTCTCATGATATTCAATAACGTAGTTAATAAACAATTTAATTGATATGATAAGTAAAAAAACTAAATAAATATTGGCTCCTTTAAGATGTTGATCATTAAAATCTTAGGCACTTTAAAGAGTAATCATGTTAAAATTATGACATCTAGAGTACTGTTTACGGGTCTTCAATTCTGCAGTTGCAAGCTATCATAGATATTAGATTTCATATATATATATATATGTTCAATTGCGAATAATTATTATTTGCTTAGCGGCTATAATAAACCATTATTATCATATTATACTACTTTATGAAACAGTAAAAAATTATTTAAGCAGAATGAGAGACATGTAAAATACTTGGTATAAAAAATGAGTAACATTGTTTTTATTTACTTTATTTCTTGATTAGTCTGAGATGCATTTGTGCAATAATTAAAATGGTGGCTTACAAGTTGCAATAAGGAAATAGATCTTTTATTGGTTAATTATTTTATTACCACCGTAAATGCATGTGTTAAACATTAATATGTAAAGCTTGTAAGTATCGATACTGTGTTTATACAAGTGGTTATTTATAAAGTGGTAATATTATAATCACTTTATAAATATTGATTACTTATGTACTATTGAAGTGATGTAATCAATTGAAAAATAAGGAATGATATAAAAAATGAAAAAAAATATTTAATTCTCAAGAGTAGAATGACATTTTAGTAAGGTTATTCGTTTTGTTTTATTAAATAGTCTGTAAAATTAAAATTAATTCTACTGAATTTAACAAAAATTAGGAAATTAGACTGAATCCTATTTTATACAAACATAATGTAAATTTCAATAATACATAATTGAGTAATTTATTTCACTAGCTAACTACAAGATACAAGATTACTAGTATTTTATGTAACAGTAGTATAGTAGTGTAATATGATATTTAAATATTTTCATTAATTTAAATAATTGTTTAACTTAAACAGTATTGTTAACTAATGGATAAGTTTTTTTTTAATATTATTTAATTTACTTGAAAAATCAAACGCATTTAATATTTTTGTTTTGGTTAGTTTTATTAAACATACATTTTGTGGGGTTTTTGAAATAAAAATCAATTATTGTATTTAGTGTATGTAAGTATAAATATATTTAAAAATAAAACGATCAGAAATTAATTAAGCGTACGAAAAAAACAACTTTAAAAATATCTTTTGTAGAAATACTAGTTAAATTTATATTTGCTAGAACATAGGTTCTACTATAGTTTTATTATACCATTTAACAATTTTAGAAAAAATACTAAGAATTAAATCAGAAACGGTACCGATTTACTCAATAAATAGCATGAAAATGATTTTTTTTTATTTTTATCTTCGTTACTACTGAAGAATTGTAACGACGAAACAATGCAAAAAATGATGATCAATTTTGTGCGACTATGACCCAAATGAAATTATTTCCACTATTTTTCACTTTCTAGTTTCTTCTATTCTATACCTGTCAATTCTTTTGCGTCTATTACTTATGCGTGTACACGTATTAAAGTTACTGTAGCTACATGTACTGAATTTAATCTTATTTGGTCCAATTTATCTAAATAATAATTATTATTGTGGCTTTCTTGAAACCTATTATTTCAGATTAATAACTTTTAAAATATCATATAAAATTAAATAATGAGCTACTAATTTTACATTTTAGAGTAAAAAGTGATATTGGTGATCAGATTTAAATAAGTATGGCCATGAAAAATGAATGTTTAGAGTTATAAAGACATGAAGAATTTTTGTAAATAATAAAAAAACTTAGGAGCTTTTTTTTTAAATGCAAACTTCTTAATTTTTTATTTATTGTAGTTTTAGTTATAAAATAAATAGAAATTTATAAGATTTAACATTTCCTATAATATTACAAGTCTAATAATATTAGACAACTAGGTTATATTATGACCAAGTTATCGAAAAAATAGTTTATAAATAGGTACTTTTTATATAACATGACTTAAAATGTATTATATATATATATATTTTTATTTTGATGTAAATATTTTTATATTTTATATTTTTAGGGAAAAATATTTCTTTTTCTTTTATGAATAATTTGAATTTATGAAGGAATTTTTATTTGCATTACATAGTCTTTTCAGAGTATCAATGAAAAATTAAAATACTTTATGTTCAGTTATTTCAAACCAACTAGATCAGATTAAAAATTATGCATTATGACGCCACACAACAAACTCCTTCTATTTTTGACCCCTTTACAAACATTATTAACCTTGTTGTTCAATTAAAAATATATATAATATAATTATAAATATATATTTCTATGAAAATAAATAGTTAAATATAAAATTTGATATCATTAAAATTAAAATTTATTAATTACTGACATTTTGATATAATGAATGATTGGAACTTGATTTATATGATTTATACAATTGCAAATTGTGTAAATCAAAATGTGCCTTAAAATTTTAGAAGGGTACATAGGAAAAACGGTAGTTATCCATTTCTGTACATTTTTTAGGAAAGTAAAAACACTTAAATATTAGCATAGTTAAAACATTTTTCATCGTAATGGTAATCATTATTTGATACTACTGCTAAGGGCTATTAAATTAAAATCGAAAAAAATGGACTTTTACCGTTTTCCCTGAGCCCATCACATTTTCTATATTTTAGAGTCCATATATTTATAAAATTATTTATAGTTCATAACTGTAATTAAATACCTTAGGTACGTATTGTTATACAAATGTTATACCACATAAACTAATTACTCGTTTTGTTGGACATCTATCAATAATATTTTTGTACATCATTTGCTAACTGTAGGGTATTTATAATGATAAGTTATAATAGCTGTTAGGTATTTATGAAGGTGAAAAAAAGTAATTAGTTTAATTGTAGGATTGTAATTTGTATAATTTTTTTAGACTCGCAAAAATGTTGCATGTTGTTAATGATTGGATAAAATTATATGTAATTTATGGATGGAGCCATTTATTTTAATATTTACACTTTACATCATTGCCAAAATAAATTTATTTCTTGTTGAACTACGTCATGATAAAATAGTTTAAAGGATTTTCGCTCGGCAAGTATTCTTTGTTTATTTTCATAAAATTTTTGGCTTTTATTTGATTATTATTTTATTTTTGTGCATGTTTCATATAAATATGATTCCGAATTATTATTGTACTTTGAATGATTTTTCTTTATTTAAAAATTGTTTACTCATTACTTTGATCTTCATAATTTAAGAAACTACATGCATAAGTAATTATTTAATATATGTCTGCTATGCATTGAGCCTTGTAACCTTATGATACTTTTGAATGAACACCCAAGTGGTTATGTATTGATGTATAAAATTACACTTTTAAAACAACTTAACCTCACGAGGGTCTCTTAATTAATTTAACAACTAACATAAAATTGAATTTTTTATGAGCCGTGTTCTTATTGAAAACAATTTAACACACTTTTTATATATACGTGATGCGATTATGTGCACAAAATTTTGCTGAAAAGACGTCACTTAGTTGTGAGGGCTATAATTTCTTATAGTAATAATTTTTATTTTGGTTTATGATGTTACATAACCTAAAATCACTTGATAGCCAAAATAATTACATCCAAGCGACCGCTTAGCTAACGTATCATGTTAAGTTTGATTGGAATTTCATCGATTATAAAATGTATTCATAAATCGGTTAGTTATAAAAACACTCATGACATAAATTTTAATTAATTTTATAATATGCTTTGCGTGTTCAATGTCTACTAAAAACTATATATTTAGTGTCTAGTATTCTAAAAATTATTCTGAAAGATAAATTTTCATTATATTAACAGGTTTTAAATTACATTATTAAATTTTTTTATTGTCTAAAAAAATGTGAAAACTAATCGTGTCATCAATACATTAATTATTATAAGATCCGCATACTAGTAGATATGTTTAATCATTTCAATGCCTTTTGAATTTCTTGTGGTGCTCCATTTATACAGATACTTATTTAATGTAACTAATAAAATATTTTTTTAATTTTATTTAATTATTTTAGATAATTACTTTATGGACGAGTATTGTATTTGAAGTATAATTTGGTAAATAAATTGAGCTGTAATATTTGAGTACAATTTTATTAATAAATAACAACAATAAAATGCTTTAATAATAAAAGCGCTGATTGTGTAGTTTATTAATATTAAAACCATTTTAAATGTTTAACGAGGTATTTACCAATAAAAATTAGATTAATTATTAAAAAATATATACTTTTTACTTTTAAGTCTTAATGAACGAATTATTTTTCATCGGGAAAAAATATATAATAAAAATTAATTTATGGATCCAATTAAAGTTGTTAACTTGNTCATCGAGAAAAAATATATAATAAAAATTAATTTATGGATCCAATTAAAGTTAACCTGGAGCTAACAAAAAAATAGTTTTTTTGATCATCTTCTTTTAAAATTGAAAATTGTTTACAAAATTACGTATTAGTATTCCATATAATAGCAGACCAATTTATAGTTTTGATTGCACCTTTAATACTTTTTGTATAGTTTAAATTAGGATAAACATTTTCGAGTACTATGTAATTATTAAATAATTAAAAACACATTATTATTTAAAAAATGTTCCGCGACAACACTTAATTAGACTTTTATTATTTTCGTTGTCAATTTCCTATACAACTTTGTGTTTGTACGCAAGGGGCTACTAGAGAACAAATTCATTTGGTAAATACTAATTTACAATTAGTAAGTAAAAATATTTTAAGTTCAATACACTAAACGAAATAATCTTAGTGATTGATGAGTTAAGTTTTTTGAAATAGTAATAATAAAGTTGCTTGAAGT